AAAAAAAAAAAAAAACAAGTATAGAAATACAACATCCAATATGGATACCAAAACCTTTAAAGAATATGCAAAAGCCCCACATGGTGGCACATGCCTGTAATCTCAGCACTCTGGAAGGCTGAATCAGGAATATCATAATTTCAAAGCCAGCTTGGGCAACAGAGTGATTTAGCAAGACCCTGTCTCAAATTAAAAATTAAAAAAAGGTTGAGGAGGTGGACTTGGCAAAGACCCTGGGTTCAATCACTAGTGCTGAAGAAAAAAATGTATATATGCAAATCAAATTCAGCAATACATAAAATGAATAATATGTACTGATCAAGTAGGATTAATTGCCACAACACAACATTGGCTTAACCTTTGAAAATCAGTTTAGTCAGCCAGGCACGGTGGTGCATGCCTGTAATCCCAGCACTTGGGAGACAGAGGCAGAAGGACTGTCATGAGTTCAAGGCCAGCACAGGCTACATAGTGAGTTCAAGATGAGCCTGAACTATGTAACAAGACATTGTTTCAAAAATTTTTTTAGTTAAAACAAGAAATTTTAGGGCCAGAGATTTAGCTCAGTGGTGCTGCTACCTGCCTCACAAACGCAAGGTCCTGAGTTTGATCCCCAGTACCAAAAACAAAAATTTTAAAAAAGAAAATCAGTATATTTACCATATAACAGAATAAAGGAGACAAATTATATCCCAAGAAACAGAGAAACAAAGCTAACATGTTAACTTTCTTTTAATAAAAACTCACAGCTTGTTAAAATAGCTGAGAACTTTCTCAAGACTGATAAAAAGGCTCATATACTGACACAATTATTACACTTGAAAGACTAACTCCTCTTTAAGATGAGAAAGAAGGCAAAGATGTCTGGTTTTACTGCTACTACTCAGCACTGTGCAGGCAGAACTATCCAGTACAAAAAACAAGAATAAGAAATATAAATCAGGGCTGGGGATTTAGCTCAGTAGTTCTGGCACCTGCCTCGCAAGCACAAGAGCCAGAGTTCAATCCCCAGCACCAAAAGAGAAAAGAAATATAAATCATACAAATCAGAAGGGAAAAGAACCTGTCTCCTTGTAAGTAACATAGTTGTTTTTAGGGATCTAACAGCATATATGGTAAATATAACAAAACCAATGGTACTTCAATAGATTAGCAATAAAGAATCAGGAAAAAGAAACATCAAAACACATTTATGCTATAAATCAAAATTATGAAATGTTTAGAAGTAAATTAAATGGAATTTACATAAGACATGTTTACTGAAAACTATAAAATACTGCTGAAAGAAATTAAAGACAATTTAAATGGATGGAGAAGTTACCATTTTCATCTATCAGAAGACTTGATGCTATTAAAATATTAGTTCTCCACAAGTTGATCCCCAGGTCCAAATCAATTCCAGCAGACTTCTATAACATTTCAATAGGTGTTCCTAAAACTTATAAAGAAATACAAGGACTAAGAATAGCCAAAATAGCTTTGAAAAAGAAGTAGGACTTACATAGCCTTGAGTGAAGACTTACTATAAAGCCTCTGAATTAAAAAGTATTATATTCACTTAAGGACAGATTTATCAAGGGAATACAACAGGAATCCAGAAATAGATCCAC